ATATAAAGATGTTTTTGCTGTTCTTCCCTTTCGGCGTGGCTGCGCTGGTAGTTGAAGTAGTGATGTCTGCATGCTCTGAACTCTAAGGCTGCTTGTTTGTAATGGCAAAAAGTGGGAAAAGTCATGGTGAAAAAAATAAAAGTCATAATGTTTGTTAAGGGAAGAAAAAGGCACCATATGGCTCACCAGATTTTAATTAATACTAAATTGTCATGGGAAATTATGCAAAAAATCCAATAAGAATCCTTGATTTTACAAATGTAATGGTTAGGGTACGATTTTCAGACACTTTTGGGAGTTAGGAGCTCAGAGGCAGATTTCTGAAGGTATTAAGACACAAACAATGCCAAGAGGAGTCTAGTGGGATCTTTCAGAAGCATCGAAGTGCAAAAGGCATTTTTTAAAATGTTTGGTGCTATCTACACCTCTGGGTACATATATGTCTATAAAAAAGCAAACAACAAGAAAGCCCCTTATCCTCAACTTCTATTGCAATTCTAGTTGAGTCAGTGCCATGTGGATGCCTGAATCCCTGTAGGCCTCCTTAAATATGCCAGCCTTAACATTTAACACATAGTTTAAAACCATTGAAGCATGGAATGCCATTGCAATAAACAGAAAGCCAGATTATCAACAATGTGGGGAATCTTGCTGAGTCACACACTGAGCAACATGGGAAAGTCCATGGCTTCTGTGCCAAAAATGAACAAGTCATCATTATTGTTCCCCAAGACTTTTACAGCTTACATCCCTCCATCAAACTAATTCTTGACTGTTCCATGCAGCAGATTCATTTCCTAAAGGTTTCCCAAAGGTTGGCAGTGGCTACATTGCCACCACATGGTATCAGAAACCTATCAACCACCACAGCTACCTGCACACCACCAACTTTCATCTTAAGCACACCACTAGATCCATCATGCACATCCAAGCTCTACATTATAACCAGATGTGCTCTGACCCCACTGATCGGGATGCACACCTTGAATACAGATAGAAGTTACACTGGTCCCTGATTGGCCCCCTGAAAGCACTCTATAGCCATACCGTGATACACGTGCACAGCCGCAGGGTGGTTTAAAAGTGGCCAATTGCACAACAAATTAATCCTCATGGGATGAGCGATCAGATGAAGGTGCTCCGCTTCGGAGTGCCTTAGGGAATTTCTGTTCCCTAGGGTCTATCTGTTGCATTATTGGGGCTGGGCTTGCTGGGCATAGCTGGCCCATGGCTGTCTGCAGAAAGAGTGGAGGGGAGCAAGCTGTGGGCTGGGTTTTGCCCAGCCTGAGCTGAAGGGGGTAGGTGGATTGGAGATCCCCAACCCTCCCCTCCAGCTCAGGCCTGGAAAACTCCAGCCTGCAGCTCACTCCCCCTCTCCTCCCTTTCCCACTTTCCCTTCCTGAAGACAGCACCAGAGCTGGGGGTTGGGGCTGGGGGAGAGGGGTGGCTGTGCTGCAGGCAGGCTCAATCCCTCTCCCCCAACCCAACAGGCGAACATCTGTTGGAGGGGGGCACTCTGAAAACACTAAGAGTTAGAGCGGGGGGCCTGCATATCTGTCAGCACATCTGTCCTAGCTTACAAACAGCCTCCCAGCCTCAAATGATGTCTCTCAAACAACAGACTAACAAACTCTTATCTTCACTGAGGAACTAGGCCTTGCAAAGGACCCAAATGCCTGCTGTGTTCCCACATCAGTACAGATCATATCATCACTGGACCTAATAACAAGGAGTACAACATCCAAGGTTCATTCACTTGCAACTCTGCCAACAACATATATGCCATCACTTGCTTACAATGCCTTTTTGCTGTCTGCATCGGACAGACAGGATGATCTATATGTGCAAGGGTGAATGAACACCCATCTGACATTAGCTGCAGAAAGACACAAAAGTCTGTGGCAGAACACTTCAGCCTCCCAGGACACTCCATTGCTGACCTCAGGATCGCTGTTCTCAGGCAAAAAAAATTAAAAACCCATTTGAATGGGAAACTGCAGAGCAAGAACTCATCTGCAAATTGGACTGTGTTAAGTATGGTTTAAATAGGGACTATGGATTCTTATCTCATCACCCGGATAAGTTTTTATGACCTCCTTTGTTCCTATGGGTTTACTGCTCCTTTGCTTTTTTTCTCCCTGGCACTGCCCCCCAAACCCTTCTCTCTCACTCCCCTCCCCCTTCCCCCACATACATTCTTTCACAGCATCTGATGAAGTGAACTTGGGTTCACAAAACTTGTGTTCTCTCTATATCTCTATCTCTATCTCTATATCTTATTTAGTTAGGCTATACAAGTGCATATGGAACATGCCTTCTGACTGAGTTCAGACTAACACCGCTAACTCCCTCTCTTTGTCATGGAAGTCACAAACGTGACAAACAGAACGGCAAACTCCGATTAAGGGAAGCGTTTAAGCACAAAGTTAATTTTAAATATACATAAGTTTCCTTTATGAACAGAGGAATGTTTTCCCAAGTCAGGGCCTTTGTTATCTCAGAATGGAGGGAGTACCCAAAGCTGCACCACGAGCGGTCAAACTGAATTTTCCTTTATGCAAATCGATGGTGATATTTACCCAAATAGAAGGCAGCCATTGATCTTACTATGCAGCAGTCTTAGGATCTGAGAAAAAAGTGCTGAACAAAACCCTTCATGATGCAAATCCAGCCTGTGCACCTACTGCAGGTTATTCCCTGCATCATTCCCCTGCTGTTGTTATTTAGTCCTCACGAATCTCCTGATATTTCTCGTGTCTGACCATATATTAAATTGTTCACATTCCAAGATAGCATACATTGGCCAGTGAGTTGTGGATCATGTTTTAGCTTGGACAGAGATACCAATGCACCGCTTTGTTAAATTGTATATCTGGCATATATACTTTATATAAAACATCACTCTGTGAGCAAATGTAACCATGGAGATAATAAGATAATTTGCTTAAAAGGAGACTCCGTGGTTCATTAAGCCCACTGCATAAGTTTTGTTGGGAAAGAGAGCTTTACAAATATTCATATAAATAAAGAGGGCCATGATTATTCTTTTATTAATTGAAAAAGTTTTGTTACATTTTTCATACGCAACATTAGAGTTTCAGCTTGAGCCTAATTTTGTAAGCACCGAGAAGTGAAACCAATTAAAAATAAATATGAAATTAAACTAGCCTCATTTTGTGGTCTAGCAGCCAGCTGCAGACAGTTAAAAAAAAAAAAAAAAAAAAAAAAGAATATTACATTGACGTGTCAATAGTCTTGGGATTTTAATAACAGATAAGAACTTAAAATATATTACAACCATATTGTTAACTTGACAGATTTCCATTAGTTTTAACATTGTGTAATTTATGTCATAATGGCTGTTGCTTTTTATTATGAATATTACAGATTACAGCTTCAATTCTACGTAGATTATGCACATTTGCATATTGTTCACATATATTTACTGGATATTTTGTGTGTTCATGAAGTCTTGTCACAACTGTTGTTGCACCCAGAATATTTTTTAACACTTCATAATATCAGGACAGGTCATCCTAAACAGTACACAGTCCTAAAACAACATTAAACATGTATATATTGTTAATGATGCAGATACTACATTTAGGAAGTCTGGCTTGATGTAGAAACTACAAGTCATAAATACATAGTATTTACATTAGCAATAAACTCAGGTAAAATACTAAGGGACTGATTCTCTATTTGGCTGCACCAGTTATGTTCCCGCGTAACTTCATTTAAATCAAAGGATACCAGCATAGAACTCATCTAGTAAAATGATTAATCCATCCCCGATTATCCTAATTAGTAAACCATATTGTTACCATTCCTGAAGTCCTAATTCAGACAATGGTTCCCTTAATTTGTCTGCATAGAGACCATAAGATAGAAACTAGGATGCGCACGGCTGCTGAGAAGGTGCAAGTCTGCTTGCTAATTTGGGCCCTGATGCAGCCTGGTGCCTACTCAATGGTAGCTTGCCCAAATAAGGGCCACAGGCTCTAACCTATACTCTATAAAGTCCTAAAAATAACCATCCAAGAGGAAATGAAAACCACTTCATTGTGTCAGTTAAATGTGCCAGCCCATGTAAAATCATAAAAGGGAAAGCTCTTTTAAGCCATCTAGTGTGTCAGTCCTTCTATCCATATTTACGGCTGGTTGCTCACTCCAGCATGCATTTGTTCTGCAGATGGGAAATCTGCTTCTTCTCGTAGGAGATGGTTTCAAAGACCTTAGCACAATGAATACCATAAGTCCATAGGAAACAATGAAAAAAGTTTTGAAACTTTCCATATACCCTGGAAAAATGTTTTTCCTTTCATGAATGTATTAGTTGACTTCTGTTTTTCTCTCTTCATCTTCCTCTGAAGCAGTGCTGTCCAACATGTGGCCTGTGAGGAGTTAAATTGCAGCCCCTAAATCATGCCCAGCTGGTGCTCCTCTCATTGCTTTGGTAATAAGTAACAGGAGTCTTACTACTCCCCCCCCCCTGCCGATCTTGTTGCTCCTCTGGCCCCTGCCCTTGCCCCTGTCCTGCGTGTGGCACAGTGCAGCATCCTGGGGAGCTGAGGCCGAGTCTTTGGGTGCAGTGGGAGATGAAGGGAGGAGGGTTGCAGATGCAGCAGGGGTGTACCTGCATGGCGTGGGATTTGCAAGCATACAGCGTAGCAGTGGAAGGGAGTCAGGTGCAGGTGATCCACCAAGGGGTATCAGGCATGCTGGGAGGGGGAAGGTCATGGGCATGCATTGCAGCAATGTGGGGATCATTAGGACTAGGCTAGGTGAAGCTCAGGCACTGCAATCTGATTGTCTGGGTCAGCTGAACCCAACCAACTAACCAGTGCCAGCTGCGTCCTAGCCTGAAGGGGAAAGACTAAGTGAGGCTTCTGCCCCACAAGCAGAGTAACTAAGCCTAACAAACTAATCGGCACCAGCTGAGCCCTTTCCCTCTTATTGGTTCAGGATCTGCTCCGAAGGAACCCCTCCAGCACCTGAGCCTTGCTGCCCAATTCACTGTTCACCAGTCCTTGCGCAGCTCCTGTCCAAGTAACTCCTCTGGCTCCCTGATTTCTGGTTAAGCTTCTGGCTTGGTGTTTGGATCTTGATTTGACCTCTGCTGGCTTCCTGACCTCCGATTCCTGGCTAACCTTCCAGGTCAGCGTTCAGAGCTTGGTTTCACCTTGAATTGCTTCCTGATCTCTGGTTAGTTCTCCAGTTTGGTTTCAAACTCTGGGCTTCCTCAGTTTGAAACTCAGGTTGCTCTCAGTTGTTCCCAACACGTGAGTTATCCTTGCAGTTCTGCCAGTCCTCACTCCTGGCTCTGCCTGCTAGGCCTGACACCTTTGTGAGTGACGGGCTGTTCATGGGATGTGTGGCCTGGAGCCCCACACTGGCATGGCCCTTGGGGCGTGCAGCCCCAGACTGCTTGGAAGTTGAACAGCCTTGTTCTGAAGGATGGGGCGAGAGATGAGAACTTCTACCTACCGGTACTTAAAAACCTCTCGGGTGCCTGGCTGGGGTGTTTTGTTCATGCGGTCAGGTGGCCTGTCAGATTTGGGGTCAGGAAGGAATCTTTCCCTCAGATTGGATCAGAAAGGACTATGGCTGTTTTTGCCTTGCTAGGCACAATCTTCCCAGATCATGTGACAATATCTTAGCCAAAAAAATCCCGGCTATTGCATTGGTGGTGCCCTTGTTCCCCAAGCTCTTTCCCGTTGGGACTTTGCAGAGGTTTTGTTTATTTTTCCAAAGGGTGTTTTGTGGCTGTAGTGTTCAATAAGGGTCAGACAATCTTGAGGATCCTGATGGACAAATGATTACCTATGAACACAGGAGACTGGACTTGATGGTCTTGGAGGCTCCTTCCAATCTTCAATTCCTATATCCCTATCTGAAGTCACTTTAAAGCTAGGTACAGACTTCTATCCCCATTTTATAGATGAAGGAACTGAACTGTGAAGGGTTGAGGTCCATACCAGACAGCACTAAATTGGGAGAAGTTTTAATTGTAACTAAAAATGAGACATTTTTAAATTAATAGGTCCAATAACCTGCATCTGGGAGCTTAGAAAGAGCTGGCCAAAAGTTTTTGTGGACTGTTAATTCAGTTTTCTATTGAGTAACTGATGGCGGCCAACATGGTTTTTTTTGGGGTGGTGAGGTACCTCTTGTCACACTAATTTGATAGATACCTTGATGGGTTATACAAGTTGAGTTAAAGGTAATGATGTTGATGTAATATATTCTAAGATTTCTCTCTGGCATTTGACTTGGTACTACATGGGATTTTAAAACTAGAATAATACAAATGCAGCTTGGAACACATTTAAGTGGATACAAATCTGTTTATCTGATTGGTTTCAAAATGTAATGGTAAATGGGGAATCACAGGAAATAGAAGATCATCATTAGCAGGTGGGGTCCAACAGAGAAGTCTTTGGCTCTAGACACCGTTTACCACTTCTATCCGTGACTTTGAAGAAAGCATAAAATCATTACTGATCACGGATACATTAGGGTGCGAGCTTACCATATATTAGCTACTCCCTATTCACACCCCTGGTAACTGCAAGCCAGCTTATCTATCCATAAAAGTGGGATAAGCCACTTCACATTTACCATGGGGTAAGAGTAGGCAGAAGGCACTTGGAGTAGCCCTCGTGCTGTAAGCTGACTCCATAGCACAGCTTGCAGTAACTTGCTTTTTTTAGACTATCCAGCATTTGCAAGTGACACAGAGTAAGGTAGCATATAATGAAGTGGACAGATCCTTGATACAAAGTCATGTAGAAGATTTAGTAAGCTGGAGCTGAGCAGTTGTATCTATGTCAAAATATCAAGAAGCAAAGAAAAGCTATGGGAATGATTAAAGGATAGGTCATGTCTTGTAATGAAAGACTCGCAACTCGGTCTGTTTAGCTTACCACAGAAGGTTAAGGGGTGACTTGATCACAATCTATAAGTACCTACATGGTGCATGGAAATGTGATAATGGAGAGCTTTTCCATCTAGCAGATAAAGATCTTTAAGATTTTTATCTTATAAAAAAATAAAGTGGCTGGAGGTTGAAGCTAGACAAATTTAAACACAGCACAGACTTTAACAGTGAGAGTATAATTAACCCCTGAAACATCTTATTAAGTGGTTTTTTTGGATTCTCCAAACCTGGATGTTTTAAAATCAAGATTTGCTGCTTTTTCTGAATGATGTACTTGATAGTTCAAATAGGAATGAATTTAGGGAAGTTCTATGGCTTGCGTTATACAGGATGTAAGACTTGATGGTCACAGTGGCCCCTTCTGACCTTATCTGTTAATTGATTTCCCCACAGCTGCCCAGCAGGTCAATGACAGCAAGAAGAGTAGAACCCAGCTCTCCCAAATCCTCTTATTTTATAGGGGAAGCAGCATGATGGAGATGTCAAGGATTTCTTCAATGTGTACTGTCTTACACTTGACCCTCCTCTGTAACAGGGGATGGCTAGGAGCCTATTCCCCACTACTGTACCTGCCTAAGGTGTAATATGGCATCTTGTACTACCTCGGTGCAGTCATTCTGAGACCCCACAGAGAAACAGGCCAAGGGCTGTGGCTAAAGCCTGGTTCTTCCTTTTTCTTTAGATGTAAGAAGTGGCTTCAGATGTGTTACCTGGAGACACGATTTGAAGATCACAGCATACATCTTGTGCACAGGAAAAAAAATGGGTTCTTTCCAATGTCCTTAAAGAACTTGTGCACAGGAAAAAAAATGGGTTCTTTCCTATGTACTTAAAGAGATTAAATCTCCTCTCATTATGACTTGGGAATCCAAGTGTTTTCTTCCACTCCTCCAGTGCTGTACTGGCTCTCAGTCACTGTTCAGTCTTTCAAGCCAAACTGAGGAAAGTGTACTTCAAATTTCACATCGCGTGTGTTCAATTTTAATCTACGCAGGAGGCATTCTTATCAATGATGAATTCCTTCTTTTTGACTTGAAGCAGTTCTGAATATTGCAGCTGTGTTTCTAATAAGCTTCCTACTGTACGGAGCTGGGATCAGAGACCACTGCTATTGATATTGAGAAGAAATGTATTACTGAAAAGGAGGAGAAGACTGAAAATTAGTCTGGGCTCATCTCTTGAGAGTCTGGGGTCAGAGAGTCCAATCATGATTTCCTTGCTTAGCCATCTGATACTTGCGGGGGCCCTCATGCCAGACTGGACCAAATCCTGAATGACTCAGTTTTTATTCAGACTAATTCCTATCATTGAAGTAATTGGGTGTCCTAGTATAGTGGGAAGGACTGTCCTATAGTAGCCAATCATAGCCCTGCTCTGGACTTCAGTGTTTGTTCTGCATTTTGTATTTCGTATTCAGAGGATAAAGAGTAGTGGGATAGCTTCTGCCCCACTGGAGCCCTTCCAGAGCAGTGTCCATCACACTGAGCCACACACCCTCTGGCTTGCTTTCCTCCTGGAGATGCATGTATTCACCACTTGGCTGTCTTCTGGGACAGCTTCAAGAGGAGAACTAGGAGGGGTACTGGGTCATGTCTAAACTGTGGCCTGGTTGCTAGCACACTTTGCTGGGAAGTAGGAGATACAAACTCAGACCTGGGTAAAGGGTGGCCTAGGACCAAGATCTCCCACTTCCCAGACAAATGCTCCTCCATTAGGTTATTGCACTAGGCTACTCTGCTCTGTGATCTGATTTGTGGGCATATGTGGCCAGGGTAAAGGCTTTGAGCATGCACAGAAGGGAAGTGGAGGGTTAGTGTAGCTACACAGGTGGAAATGGATTCTAAAATCCATGTAAATGTTAAAAATATCACTTACGTGACTACATGTGGACACACAAGTAGTAGTTAGGTGCCTAAGACTGAAATACGGGTTGGATAAAGCGGGTGTCTACACATCACATTGTGGTGCTACGTAGAGATACCCAAGCTGGCTCGTTCTCTGTTGTGCCATACAGACACAGGCAAAAAGGCTATACCACACTTAAATCTAATGTTAGTACTTAAGTGGTGCGTTAGACTTTGGCCTAGTCCTTTGCACAAGGGTTACTTACATTTTAAGTGAGTAATGGTGCGGGGTTATTTATTCACTTGGAACAGTTATCATGATGCTCAGCACCTAATCATATTTACTTTGAGGTAAGTTATCTTTGACTCTCATCTCACAGCTCCTCTGTCACTCATAAATGACTCGGGTTTCAGGCTCAGTTTTATGATTATAAGCACATTTGTCACAGCCATTCATTTATTCTGCATCTGTGGACAAATGCTCTGCAGCTTGGCTATTCATCAAACAGCAACAAAATAGCTGTTCTGAAGTCTTGAGACTCATTAACTGTCACAGTAATGGGAACTATTTAGTTCTTCACATGCAACAGAAACAGAAAATTTCACAGGCTAAGTCCTAAAGTTCTTCAAGGAGTCTTCAGATTATCAGTAGTCATCTTATTTTTTTAAGATATTGAGATGGACATGAAGTGTAATTTACTGTCTTCTCCCTGTGTTAGAGATGTCTCTGTTTTTTGACAGCTCTGAAAAAATGTTTAAAATGCATGGTAGGGCTGTGAAACCTGTCTTTTTATAAACAGATCTTTTACAGAAGGGGGAAAGGGAAGAGCTAAAGAACTGGAGGCCCATAATGCTCCTGAACTTGAACTATAAACTAATGACCAAAGTCTTGGCTGAGCATTTTAAGTCTGTTATAGGTGCAGTGATCCATGAAGACCAGTTGTACACGGTGCCAGGATGGCAGATCCATAAACCCCTGCAGCCACTGTGATGCATGCGGTGGTACTCTCAGGAGAGGGAGCTGGACATTACCATGCTGAACCTTGACTTGGAGAAGGCTTTTGACTGAGTGCCCCACTGATTCCTGTTCAAGATGCAGAAGATGGGAGACCTCTGACTTTTGTCACCTGATAAAGGCATTATATATGGATGTGAGCAGCAGATGCTATTCAATGGTTTCCTGACCACACCAATCGTGGTAGAATCGGGCATCCAGCAGATGTGCCTGCTCTCCCCAATCCTTTTAATCTGCATGATGGAACTGCTAACCCAGTGGCTCAGGCGAGACCCTAGGGGGAAGCATGGAAGAGATGAGAGTCCTGGTCTACATAGATGATCTCAACATCCTGTGCACCAACAAGTGCTTGGTAGAA